AAGAATTTTAGATTTTAAATCTATAAATTTCAAAATCTACCTTAACAATTTTTTTATAATTTTAAAATCTATTTTCAGAATCTCCTTTCAAAATATAGTATCAATTTTAAATGATTTAAATTTGATTTGTCAATTATTTTATTAGATACAGATTTTCTTTCTATTCGTTCTATCAAATAAATCCCTAAAATTTAGCATGTAGACCTAATCTTTGTTACAAAGGTATATTAGTCTAAAATATTTATTTAATATTTAAAAAATGTGATTTAGCCATTTATGCAATATATTTGGTCATTTTTTAAAACGCGTTATTTATTTTGGCCATCAGTTGTCCCCACGTAGCAAGATATAACTAAGCTTAGACTTTGGGCCGAGTCACATGTTTGAAGCCCAAAGGCAACATGCATCCATACCGCACTCTCCCACAAAATAGGGCCCAAATCAGGCCCAATATGATGGCCCATTTCCTTAAATTCCGCGCTAAAGCGACAGAATTCAAAAATAATACCGTCACGAAGAAGCAAACACTTTGCTGCTCGTCGCAGCAAGCAATCCTCTCGCAAGCTCCGCCAATGGCCGTCCCTCTACGCTCTATAATCTATTGCTTACTTTCTTCGCCTCCCTCCTCCTCGAACTCAGAAATTCACGCTCCTCCCTCATGGATGACGAACCAACCATTTGACTTTTCATCAACAAGAACCCTTTTTCAGTCCCAAAATATTCCTTCTGATCCCCCACTTTCTCTTCCCCTTTCGTGCTCTTCAAGAACATACACCGTTCACACAACTTTCCATTACTTTTCTCGTCCTCTTCGTGTACCACACGTGAACTGAATCGTATTTTCCCCATTCACGGGTTTGATTTCTTCTTCCGCTATTAAATTCCCCGCGATAACTAGCAATTTTTTTATGTGCTTCTGATTTACCGAGGGATTCATTCCAAATTCGGCGATTCTAGAAGATCTCTGCTACTTACTTAACTTGGTATGACCCAGAATCATATCTGATTTATTTTTTCTTGTGGTTATTTCTGATTCTTACTCGAATTTCTGCATTCATATTGATTGTACTGTTAATACCGTACAAGGATTGGTGAGGAATTTGATTTGTTACGGAAATTCAAACGGCTCTCAACTGTAGAAAATCTGTTTAGGAGATGTATGTTCAATGTTGTTCTTCGTGTAAAGTTATTTTGTTTTCGTAGATGTCATCGGATTTCAAGTTGGAAATAGTCGGGGAGGAACCAGTTATAAGCGTTAGAAATGGAAACGTTGCGCAGAGTGAAGGAGCTGGCACAGTACACAAAATTCTCAGCGGCATTCGAAATCAAGGAAGCAAGTCCATTAGCAATTTCTTAACGAATGCACAGCGCAGGGCCTTGGGTAACAGGTACTAAAACAATGTAGTTGTTGATTTTATGCAAGAAAATTAAAAACTGTAATTCAAACTTGTGTGCAACCGTTAGTTTGCCTCYAACAATAGCATTCTATAATTTCTCTCAGAATCTGTATGCAGCTAATAATCATTAGATATAGATTCGAAATGGTTTTTTTAATTTCTGTCTCATATTCAACTACTAGCCACGTTACATTGTTTCAGCCTCTTAAATAATTTCTCATTACCAAGGGGCGGACACAGACTTTGAATCCACATAGTGTTGGATTTGTAAGGAGTGTATTGATTAGGGAAGGGAGTGATTCATAGTACAATTATCTTCATTAGTACGAGGCATTTTGGGTGAAAACTGTGAGGATTATGCCAAGGACAATATCATATTATTGTTGARATATTTAAGRTAGGAGGGAAGGGATATTATTGTCCTTGACMCATGGAACGACAGTTACATTGTGGTGGAATAATTTTTTGTGTTTTTTCTATTTGAAATTTTGTTAATTTTCCGTTATTCTGTTGCTAACTCATCACTTTTCTTTCACAGKTTTTTCAGAGGGAGCCGAATTGCCAAGAGTGGAAGTTTCAGTGGTTTGTTTGATGGAGATGAAACACGTGAACATGGATTAGGAAGAAAAATTAGCCCTCTTTTAGCRGGGACTGCGTACTGCATTTCTTCTTGCAGCATGATTTTGTTGAATAAAGTTGTTCTCTCAAGTTACAATTTCAATGCAGGAATATCGTTGATGTTTTACCAAGTATGCCACTTGTTCCTTTCTCGTASCAGTTAAAGGGTCCGTTTGATAATGTTCCTGTTTCTTRTTTCTCGTTTCCAATTTTATTTAGAAATCTAAAGGACATTTTGCAACTAAGTTTCTTCTTTTTGTTCTCRTTTCCAATTTATTCCAAAACATAAATAAAAAGATTGTTTTATCATACTTCARATGTTGAGGTCATGCAATTTATTTTTCTTTATTAAAAATTAAGAAACARAACCTTACCAAACGAGCCCTAAATTGCGAGTCTCGAAACAGAGCTACTTCAACGAATGAAAATTTCTTGTTAATATTGTCTGTTTGACTTACTTTTAGCATATGGGAATTAAATTTCTTCCGGTAATTTTCTGCAGAATTTGATTAGTTCTATAGTTATTGTTCTATTGGGCCTCTGCAGAACAGTTTCAGTGGAAAAGCTTAATTGGAAGCTGATTAGGCTGTGGATTCCAGTCAACTTAATTTTTATTGGCATGCTGGTGTCTGGCATGTACAGGTGCGTCCAGTATCGAAGATTCATAGCAACTCTTCCATTTTGCTCTTTGAAACCCATGACAGAAATTTGGGGATTCTTGGTTTCAGTTTGAAATACATAAATATTGCAATGGTGACAATTTTGAAGAATGTCACAAACATAATGACTGCAATTGGAGAACTTTATATTTTCCAGAAACGTCAGAACCAAAAAGTTTGGACTGCTATGTTCTTAATGGTAAATATGCTATTTTACTTCCCAATTCACATGAAAATAACATATGCATAAGGATTACTCTTTATTGGTACTAATAAGTAAACTCATTATTCCTTGCTTAAACAGAGCAATGCCCTTCCTTCCTTTTTATTTGCYTTTCATTGGGGAAAAAAAGTTACATTTCTTATCTTGTAGAATCTCCAAGTTACTTGGTACGAAAAGAATGCCTAATTTCCGTTTCTCCTCTGAGAAATATGGGAGAGTAGTATTGAAAGAACTGTAATCTCTGACGATAATATAAAGAAATGAAATGCTGCACTTTATCAAGCAATCTGTATATTATGTCATATGAATTGTAAGTCTTTTTCATTGCATACTTCAAATTCAATCTTCTTTTATGCGTGCAGATCATCTCTGCCATCAGTGGCGGTATAACAGATCTTACATTTGATACATTAGGCTATGGATGGCAGATCACAAACTGTGTTTTTACAGCAAGCTATTCAGTAAGTAGTTTTTAGACCCATTTCGTGTTTATTCCTCCCCCAACTGGGAATTATGTCGCRTTTTGTCGGTGATTTGAAAAGAGAAATATAAAAACAAGAAACTGAATCTGAATTGCATACCAAGACACGTTATTCATTACRAAACTGTGCGTAATCCAGTATGATTTTGTGTGTGTCACAGCTTACTATGAGACGTATAATGGACGAAGCAAAGAAGCTAACAAGATCTGGATCTCTTAATGAAGCTTCCATGGTGCTGCTGAACAATTTATTATCTCTGCCTTTTGGTGGAGTATTGATTTTCTTATTTGGTGAATGGGCTTATGTAGTAAATGCGTAAGTAGATTCCTTTTGTTTATTTCTTTTATTTTGTATTCTCATAGTTTCGTCATCTAAAAAGTTTTTCTCCCATTTCAACTCGTAGGGATGTCATAAAATTGCCAATGTTTTGGGTTGTCGCAACTGCGAGTGGAATACTTGGACTCGCTATTAGTTTCACCTCTATGTGGTTCTTATATCAAACTGGTCCCACCACCTACAGGTAATGCTATTTCAATTAAATGCAAACATTTCTACTACTTTTTTTTCTTTCTTTCTTAAATACAAGTATGGTACATAAAATTTTCAGGGGTGTTTGCCCTTGAAATTTAGTGGTGTTTAATAGGTTGAAACTTTTAAAATTATCGGGTAGATCAACATTCAATTATATATCTAAGATCGTATATAAAATTTAAGGATATTCCATRATAGCCACCTAYCTTAGGAATTAGTAATTTCTATGTGTTTCTCAACACCAAATGTTGTAGGATCAAACGGTTACCCCATGAAATTAGTCGAGGTGAGCGTAAGTTGGCATGGACACTCACGGATATATATATAAAAAAAAAAATTTAAGGACTTTGACACAAAATTCAATAGTTCATTCTGTACTYGACAAGTCTCTAAATGGTAGAAAATGTCTAATAGACCATGGGACATTTGGGGTGAGTTTCCTATACTTTCTAGTTTAATCACTTTTTTTTGTTTGATAATCATCTCTCAAATRCTTAAACTACAATTGTGTTAGTGTCAGGATCCCGATTAACGAGAAAGTAATAAGCTAACTTATATTGTAATATCAAAGAGAGGTTACAATACCAACCGTCTTTCAAGATGACTATCTCTTTCTTAAGAACTCTACTAAGTTCCTCACCCTAAACTATTCCAAAGATACTCCTTCTCTTCATACTTCCTCTATTTATAACCAACTCACCCCAATGTAATTATCATAATACCCCCACTACTATACTAATAATATTCTCAAACTATCCTTAATAGGRCTCTCACAGTGAGTCACTTTAAAGTTATTTTTTTGGATAATCAATCTCTCTAAGGGTTTCTTCAAAAAAATATTTTTAAAGAAGCATTTTTTGTCATCTAAAACCACTTATAAAGATAAATTAAACGTAGTCTAAATTATGAACTCTTCCAAGAGTGCTTATAAAAAGAATATTTTGTTCAAATTCACTCCTAAAAGTCATCTCAAACACAAAAACACAAWAGTAGTAGATACAAAATTGAAAGTTTAGACCTAGTAGAAACAATATTGAAAGTTTAAGGACTTAGTAAAACACTTTAAGAATTTTATGACGTATTAGACACAACACAACCCCGAAAATTTAAGGATTAAACTTATAATTTAGTCTTATTTTTTAAATACTCGATGTGTGAATGTTAGATATAATTAGTATTATTAAAAAATTCAATATAGTGATGAGATATATTAATATTGTTACTTTTTGTGTATATATATATATATACTTATTTAGTACAACATGTGGAGGTAGGGGATCGAACTCACAACCTCTTGATTAGGGATGTATGTGAATTACCGTTGAGCTATGCTCGGTTTGGTTCTCATCAAACTATTTGGGTTGCTACAATTATATAATTTCATGTTGAGACTTATATTGACATTTTGTTTTTACAGCCTGGTAGGTTCCTTGAACAAGATTCCCATATCAATTGCTGGAATTCTTGTGTTTAAAGTTCCACTGAGTCTCCCAAACCTATTCAGTATATTATTTGGTAACAAAAACGGATTTTGGTCACTCTTTTTTTTTTCAGTTATTGGGAGAGACAAATTAAAAATTGATTACTAAAATTGAATTGCAGGTTTATTTGCTGGGGTGTTCTTCGCCAGAGCCAAAATGTCATCGTGAAAACGAAAAGCCAGGCACGTAATTTGTTGTTAATTACAAGTTGTTGAAACTGAAACTAATTCAGCATGCAAAAGGGCATCAGTTTCAGTGAGTTAATTGTCTGTATTCTTCTCAAAATTTGTAAATTCCAGTAAAAAGAAAAAGTAAAGAAACAGAAAAGATAATGGAGACCCATATTTAATTTTTTCTATTTGCCTTTTTGGTACAACGGTTACCTTTGACTCTTAATCATAACGACTCTTTTTTGCTGAATTAATGGCTTCATCACTACAAAGCTTATTGCTTAGGACCATCATCATCCAATTTCTATACCCACATGGAATTTTTTTTGGGATGGAGTAAAATATCTTAACCGTTCAAACTAGCTATCGAAAAAAATTTGTTTGGTTAAGAAACTGGTGGACACACAAAAGGGTTATTAGGGTTTCTGTCATTCGTCTCATTCGTCTCACGATCATTTTTCGTTGGAAAAATTACAATTCGTAAATTTAGCCATCAATTAATTTTTCGTGTCGAATTCAAGAGAATTATGTTCAAGTAAGTGGAAGAAGCGGACCTAAATTCATTGTCGAGAGTCGAATGATACAGCACGATTTGGTCTTCTTTTATAGAGATGAGAAGACATCACGGATTGTTACAAGTTTTTATTTTATTTATAATTTGATCTCTTATTAAATTAGAAATTAATTTATGGTATCCATGCAATGGAGTAATTTAATTTATAATTACTCCCTTATACCGAAGTTTACACATAATTTGATCCCTATTCTTTAGTTGGATTAAAATGGTAAAAAATATATCCCCTAATTAAAAAAAATTACATGTGTGATTACACTTGACACATATTTTGCTATATTATACTCTCTCAAACTAACTTGAGCGGTAAAACTTTGCTGATATCTTTCAGCTTTTAAATTAACTTTTTTTCCTATTTCATTAAACGTGACAATAGATTTTTCCCATTTTACTATGTGTGTGTTTTTTTTAATATTCTTTAATTTCTTTTCTATCGATGAATTATTRTTTAGTTCTTAATTCTTTTTATTTGAAGATGTTTAGATAAAAGGTGGGAATGATTAGACGTCCTCTACACTACCATTAGTGAAATTAAAAAGAAGGTTTATATATTATTTTGGTTTGGAAATAACTTAGATCACGATGCGGGTGAGAACCTATCTTTATACTATCATTGAAAAATTGATAGTTCATTATTCTCTTCAGAAATATTCTATACTTTTGCATTTATCAAGCATATATCTACATAAATTGTCCATTTAATGGTAGTCCGCACGAGCGATCTTCACTGGTTAGAATATATATTTTTTCTTTCTACATTTTGGACTTTAGTTTGTTTTTAGTCTCTATACTATTAAAAAGTTATCATTTTGATATCTTCATTTTTGTTTTGTTCTTATTTGTTTCAATCAAAATTTTAACAAGTGACAATCCACCCACTAAAGTTTTTGAAATAATAGCCATAAATTTATCTTAAAAGAAATTTTTTTTATTGTGTACAGAATTTGTGTTAAAATTTTGTAATCACTTTTAAAATTACAAGGACCAAAACAAGGTACTTCTACTAAAATGAACAAAAATATAGACTAAAATTTTGAAATACATGAACAAAAATTGAGAGTATAGAATCCAAATGGGATGAAATTACATAAATATAGCATATAATAAATTTGTATTTTCAAATATAAACAATAGTTTAAAATTTCATGAAAATTTTATAATTTAATGATGAAAGGAATGTAATGTACACGGGGAAAAGTCAAATTTATGCTATATATTTGAAATTTGAAAAAAGAAACGAAAAGTTGTGACTTTTTTAAAAAATAAATACTAAATTTATATACTATGACATGAATTTTATTGATAAATTATAAGTTCTAAGATGAACTAAAATTTCCGAGTAAGGGACCAAAATAATATCATATATATATATGTGTGTGAAAATAAGACTATTGAGAAATCTTATTTAACTTAATTTTTATTGGTGGGTAAACAAATATCTCTTATTTAATCAATTAAAAATTTGACATCTTAAATAATAGAATATAAAAGCTAATGAAATAATCCAAAACGAAAGATTCGTTTTAACACCCAAAGTTCGAAGAACATGGAGAGTTCAACCTTCATCTATCCTCCAAATCTTCCATTAGAAGTTGAAAGTTAAAATTAGTTCTCACTTTTTTTTTTTTGTTCTTTTTATTAAACTCAACTCAAGAGTAACAATGGAAAGACAGCATTTCTATCAAATCCAGTTCCCTTTTCCCTTCTTGAGAGCTCTGCCATTGGCCTTTCCCCGCCGCGGCCGCCGCCTCCATCTCCGCCATCTCCATCATGTTCTGAAGCTCATCGCCGTCGCTGGAGTTCGCCGCCCCGTTCAAAAGATATGACAAATATAGGTCAGAATACAGATGGCAACTGCCGGTTGCAGTGTTGCTCCGACGATGAAGATCATCTACTTCGTCGCCAACCTTCAGCTTCTCCATTTTCAGTTCGGAGTCGATGGAGACAAACTCCGCCGCAGGTTGATTATCGACAACGGTCATTGGCGCATCGTGGGCGGGTGGTGGATTGGTCGAGTTGGAAAAGAAGTTCTGCATGAAGAGAAGCTCGTCGTCGTACGTAGGCGACGAGATGATCGCCGGGGAGAGGTTGTAGGTGGAGTCAGAGGATTCAGGGAAGAAATGGTTGAAATGGGACGAAGGATCGTCGGAGACGATGGTTGCGGTGGCTGGAGCGGGAATGTTATGCTTGCTTTTGATGTAGTCTTGAAGAATAGAAGAGTGAGGCTTGCCATTTTGGGAGTTGGGGCGTTTGTTCTTTCTCCTTGAATTCTGCCTTCTTTTTGTGGCATTCCAATGGTTTTTTATGGCGTTTTCTGTTCTTCCCGGAATGCTTTTTGCTATCTCTGCCCATCGGTTCCCAACCTTTGCATGAGTCTCCACTAGTATTCTCTCTTCCTCTTCGCTCCAACTTTCCTTCTAAAAATTAACGAACGAATCGATAAATTATTCAATGCAACCGTCATACTATTCTTAAAGGGTTTCTACAGTCACTCTAAACACGACTTTTAGATATCTAGAAGAAAATAACTGTCATGCATGCAAGATTACAATTTAAGGTCATACTCAAAAGAAGGAAAAAGGAAAAAAGCATATTGAGCTTATTTTGGTGCGTTAGGGTTAATTCAAACGAGATCAAAGTATTGGACAAACGATCTCGACAACTTTTAACGCTAAACAATGCCCGCATGTTGATCAATTACTTGCATGATGTGTTGTGTAAGTATAAAACACGAGCTAATTCTATAAATCAATATRAATATAACATCTATAACACATGAAATTAACCCTAYTTAATTGGTAACTTTTTAGTCCAAAAGCCTCCCATTTCAAAAAGAAAAAAAAAYCTAGATGCAATAGATTCATTCGGATAATTAACTCACCATTCTCAATTCGCTTAAAATCACAAAGATCCGTCGAAGATCTTTCTTCCTACCACTATTAAAAAATCTATTTTCTCTMTTTTTCTATGCGTTCATATAAACTTTAGCAGTGTCAATTTTGTAATGGTAATTACTCGTGAAGGCTATGTTAATAAAAAAAAAATGAAGTTTTTAAAGAGAGAGGAGAAAAAAATTTAAAAAAAAAAACCTTAATATCAGGCCGCAAATGATTGTGCCATCTCTCGCGGCATTGCTTCCCGGCTCTTCCCTCCAACTTCTCGGCTATCTGTGCCCATTTTCTCACCCCATGTTGCTTCACCAATCTTATTAATTTCCTATTTCATTTCCCAAATAACAAAAACAAAATTTAAGAAAAAAAAAACTTGTCAATAATTAATAATTATATCTAAAAGAATAAAATTTACCTTCATCCATGAACTTAAACTTTTGACCTGTATATTCAAAACAATCTTATAAACTCCGAAAACATTGCATCATCGTCAATTTTAATATGTGATGATAATTAAGCAAATGATATGATGCATTTTCTTAATAATATAACATTGAAAATTTTTAATTGATATAATATATTTTTTTTTTGTTGATCAAATTCATGGTCACCTGTCTTCTTCCTCAGTCCACTGGCCTTTAATCAAATTTGCAGAAGAGCCCTTCTTAAATTTCTTCCCTTTGGAAATAATTTTGCCTTCATTTTCCATCATCAGCTCATAATTACAATTTGCCCCACTTCTGCCCCAACTGTACATAATTTCTTCTTCTTCTTCTTCCTCMTCCACGCGCCGCCACTCGCCGCCGCAGTAACTTTGATCCGGCGGGAACCCTCCGATCACGTCCACGTCATCGCAGCTGTGTAATAATTGGTGGCCGTAGAGAAACCGATCTATGGCGGCCAGCGGCGGTCCCGACGGCGGCTGCATTTTCTCTCTCCGCCGTGAATTCTTGTTTTTTCGCCTGAAAAATTATAGAGAGAGAGAGGAAAATTGGTGAGGAAATGGAGAAAAGACGAGAGCTTATGGCGAGGGGTTTTTGTCATGAGACATGCAGCTTTAGAGCCGTTGATTTGGAAAACGATCTGACGGCTGAGATTGAAAGTTGGTGTAACTCCTGAGCTTCTCTTTTTTGGACGAAAAGATCGTTATGGGAGAGGGATTAGTGGGCTGGTTATAATTAAAACCCCCCATTAATATTCTCTTTAATTTTAATTTCCCAATTATTAGTCGAAATTAAGCTTTACATAATTTTTTTTGTTTATTTTTAATATATTTTTTTTGCCGCTAAGATTGAGAGATTAATTTGGCGCCAATTTTGTTGTGAAAGGATTGTTTTGCCCCTTATGGATGTGCTTGGGTGAAGGGAAGGGCAGGGGTAATTCTGGGTTTTTGTTTTATTCAATGTGAAAATTAGAGATAATTACTTTGGAGAAAATTGGAGGGGGAGGAGAAAAAGAGAGGAAATAGTGGGGGTTTTGAGTTATTGAAGAGATTAATTATATATTTAATAAAGGAGGAAATTTTGGAGAATTTGAAAAAGGAATCAATTTTATGATTAATTTTTGTTCAACGTGTGCCACTAAATGCACCTCGCATCACATTATTCATTTATACTCCACTTAAGCTTAGTGTGTGTATAAAATTTTTAAAACACAACTTTTTTTAAAAAAAATAAAATTTTATAAATGATAGATCTTGATTTTTTGTAATAAAAAATTCTTTAATTTTCCAATTTTAAATAGAAAAATTACATAATTAGAATATTGAGAACGGTATTGAAAAATTCATATAAAAAGTTTGCGGAGAGTGGAATTTTTCATGAAGATTTCTCTCCATTTGTTAATTTAATTATATATATATATATATATACCCTTGCAAAAATGAGGGTGAAAATTAGAGCTATTGCTCAAGTTTTACCAAATTAATAGAGTAGAGTTTAATAATGTCTAAATAATATTTTTGTAATTTTGGAATCGATCTATTTTAATCACTATACTCTCACAATATGACCTATTTAAAAAGTGACCATTTTGATCCCATAATTATTAAAGTCGAAAATATAAAGACTAAAATATATAGTATCTAAATTTTCTATAAAAAAAATATCTAAAAAAAAAGCGATTAACTATCTTAATTCTTTTTTTTAGTACAACAAATGTGTGAGGAGATCGAGAATTGAACCTCTAACCTCTAAGAAACGAGGCAAGATACTTTAATAGCTATGCTCATATCATGTTGACTATTATATATATATATATATATATATATATATATATATATTTTATAATACTTGAACTTAAAAAAATACATTTTTATAATTTTCTAAAGTATGAGAAACAAAATTTAGGTTTAAATTACTAATCCTAGGTTTATTTTGGACATGTATTTTCAAAATAATTTTTTTTAGTTAAACAATTATAGGGTGGAAGATCAAACCATCTATCTTTAGAATGATAATATGTACCTTATCAATTGAGCTACGATCGAATTAACTTAAAATTGATTCCTACTTAAAATGAATTCCTATCTTTTTTTTTCTGTCTATTTAGGACATTCAACCTTGAAAGAAAAATCTATTTTGGTTCTATTACATTTTAAAAGTTACCATTTTTGTCTCTTTTTGTCTTCCTTTTTTTATTTATCTAAATTTTTAAAAAAATCACAGTTAATAAATTTTTTTTGAAATATTGTCACACTTTTGTATTAAAAATTATATATATTCCAATTCTATAATAAAACGGACTATGGGCTTTTTCAGGAAATGAGTTAAGAAAGCCCAGAAAAGGAGGCCCACTATTATTAAAGTGGTTAATGGGCTCGAATGCTCCACATAAGAAAATGAATCAGCAGGTGTCTCTATTTGTCATGCGGTATTGAAAAATGGCCAAATTATATTTGATAGTGAAAAATGTTCATTTATATTATTCTAACTATTTTACAAGTTTGATAACACCTTTACCCTAGTTATTAGTTTTAAAATCAAAATATCCTAACTTCCATTATCTCTACTATGGGAAGAAGAGGGTCAACCAAACTGCGATCCACCCCCCCTTGAAATGAGTGCGTGTGCATCACATCTCCTACGGTGGTTGCCAAAGCTCCGAGTGAACCCAAAATAGGCCATGGACTTGGATCTACCAAATGATAAGAATGCCTCTGAGATTCAATCATAAACCAGGGCTTTCCGAACCTTCCTCACCCCCTTTCCATTTTTCCTTCCCCTCTCGTTCCCCCTTTTTCAATAAAGAAGCCCCGCGCTTTAGTCGGTTAAAAAGAGGTATGTGTGGTCAGACTTCTTTCTTTATAGTTGAGAACTCTCCTAAAGAGAGTTAATTGTGCCTATAAGTTGCATGAAATAGCTAAAATTAGTCTATTCTAGCCCTATTTATTCAGTGAGTGTGCGTGAATTAAAAGATAAATCAATATCTCACATTACTAAGAGTCTATGTTAGCACTAAATTAAATGATCTGATTTTGAGCATTTTTGCTGCAGCTTCGATGAAGCTACAATATCGGTTCCAGATAAAGACAAAAGACAAAAAGCAGCAAGCTAACAGTGAACGGGCTTCTTAGCGGAATTTACCACAGTGATTGGAGATTTACCCAAAAGTGAGAGATGGGTCCCTCAAGGCTCGTGTTGTTGCCCAAATATCTGAAGGGGGTATAAATACAAATAAGAGAAGAATCCTCCAAGACACACAAAAACGCCAAGAAACATTCCCCTTGTTCATTTTCTAAGGAATCCACCCTCACTCTAAGAAAACCTCTCCAAACCGTTAGAGAAAATCAAGAGAAGAAGAAGACTATCCAGTTGCATTTAGGAGCCGATCTTCAGCTCCTTCTCTTCATTTTCTCATCTTTGTATTATTTTCATTCCTACATTTTGTTTGACTCTCCTTATGGCTTTGCATAGCTAACCAACTTGTGTAAGGGGGAAATGTTCTAGACTTATTTTCGAGGCTATAACCTTGTTGTTTGCTTTAATAAAAGTTTGCTTTGAGTTGAAGTTGTTTTATCACTCTATTTTCAATGTGCTTGATCACCATTTTGAAATACCTCTTTGATAATGTTGGAAAAATGTATTAAGGAGCGAAACCATTCATCTTGGGCTAGAGTTTACTTGAGTTTAGCGTGTGGTGACTTAGGGATAAGCATCACCTAGCTTGGTCATAAAAACTATGTGTATATGCTATTGATGTTTGTCTATAAATGTTAGTAGTAGAAAATCTGGGGTGATTGGAAAAACACATTGTCTGTTTGACCACTGCAATTACTCCATTAATGCTACAGCATAGTTAGAGTGGCCCAGAAAAGTCGACTTCCTCTCCCCCTTGCGCCTTTATTTTTATACGGTTTTATCGAGTGATTGTGGATGCGTGGTACACTAGCGGACTTTACCTTTGTGTTTGATTTAAGATAATCGCTTTAAATAGTTTTTACCTCAATATATTTTAGTTTTTAGTGAAAGATAAACCCATTGGCTTATTGCATTGTTTCCTTGAGTAAATATTGAGTGTTTAAGCATTTAGTCTCTGTGGATTCGAACAATTATTACTTGCTGGGACGATTGTGTACACTTGCACATATAAGAATTGGTAGCACAATTAGTGGACAACAAGTTGTTGGCGCAGTTGCCGAGGACTAAATTGCTTTACACTCTGTATTTTGCTTAAAGAAATTTTATCCTAGATTTTTTACTACTGTGTTGGTGAACTTTGAAGGTGAATGAACGATTTGCAACGGTTAGAGTACTTGTTTGATAACGAAATTAAGCACACATTCCACCAACAAAGAACAGAACAACGTCGTCAGTAAGTAGAAACTGAACCCATGGATCAACCACCAAGGCTCCCCAATCCAGTTGTGGAAGAACTACATGGAGGAGAAATGGCCGAACCAACRGTTGTACCCCTTCTAAATGTCATTCTGTTGGCAGACGATGGAGACAGAGCTATTAGGGCTTATATTGCGCCAGCACTTCACGGTTTTCATCCAGCCATAGCAGGGCCAGAGATGGAAGCTGAACGATTTGAATTGAAACCTGTGATGTTTTCAAATGCTGCAAACAGTGGGACAATTCTATGGAAATCCATCCGAAGACCCACATCTCCATCTCAGATACTTCCTTGAAGTGAGTGATTCCTTTAAGATGCAAGGAGTATCAAAGGAAGCATTAAGGCTGAAATTGTTTCCGTATTCATTGAGGGACAAGGCAAGAGACTAGTTGAACTCTATGCCAGTAGAATCCATTACCTCTTGGAATGACCTCGCTGAGAAATTCCTGATAAAGTACTTCCCTCCAAGTAAGAATGCTAAATTCAGATGGGATATTAACAATTTCCAGCAAATAGGAGGAGAATCCGTGAGTGAGTCATGAGAAAGGTTTAAGGAGCTACTTAGAAGATGTTCGCACCATGGCTTACCAAAATGCATTCAAATAGAAACATTGTATAACGAGTTAAATGAAGCAACCAGAATGGTTGTTGATGCATCTACTAATGGAACCTTGTTATCTAAATCATATACCGAAGCAGTGGACATATTGGAGAGAATATCTTCCAATAACTATCATTGGTTAGATTCCAGAGCTATAAATGACAGAGGAAATTATGGGGCTGCTAGCAATATGGAGATGGCTTCTCTGAAAGATCAAATAGCAAACCAAACCAACATGGTAAAGAACATGAGTGCTGCTATAGCATCATCCATTAACTTAGGATCAAACAAAGTAATTGCAATCTTACGGTGAAGGTGATCATACTTATGACTCTTGCCCCGAAAATCCAGCATCAGTGTATTATTTGGGAAATCCTGGCAGAAACAACCCTTACTCGAATACATATAACCCAGGATGGAGGCAACACCCAAATTTTAGCTGGGGAGGAAATCAAGGTAGTCATAGTTATCAGAACGCCGGGCAATACCAA